ATCCATCCATCTGTCCATTTGTTTGTCCCTCCATCCGTCTGTCCATCTATTTGTTCATCCATCCAGCCGTCCATCTGTCTGTCCATTTGTCCATCCATCCATCGTTTATTCATCCATTCATCCGTCTGTCCATCCGTCCATCCGTTGCTCATTTGTTCGTCCATCTGTTCATCCATCATTCATTCATTCATCCATCCATCCATCCATCCATCCATCCATCCATCTGTCCATTTGTTTGTCCCTCCATCTGTCTGTCCATCATTTGTCCATCCATCCATCATTCATTCATCAATTCAATCATCTGTCCATCCATCCATTTGTTCATCCATTGTTCATTTGTTTGTCCAACCGTTCATCCATCATTCATTCATCCATCCATCCATCCATCTGCCCATTTGTTTGTCCATCTATCGTCTGTCCATCCCTTTGTTCATCCATCCAACCGTCCATCCATCCATCCATCATTTGTCCATCCATCCATCCATTTATCCATCCATCTAGTTTCAGAATCGTGTTGAGGAGTAGCAACTTGAAGGAGGTCCAGGCGTCTCCATCCACAGTCACCTTTCAGCTCTTCTAGAGGACTCCCAGGTCAGCTGAGAGACATGTCTCATTCACAAGACGCCTCAGTCCAGGACGGAGACGTGTTCTGGCCGTCTTGGTCCATCCAGAAGACATGGAGGCAGCAGGAGGGCTCAGAGACAGCCCACCATGGAGCGAGGTGGTGACAGGGCCGGATCGACAGACGTGATAAAATAAACCTGCAGAGCTGCAGCTCAGTAATGTGATGAGCTGGTTGTGGCAGAGTGTGACGGCCCGCTCGCTGGAGAAAAACACCAGAGCCATGACCGAGGAAATACTGATGATGACAGAGCAGCTGTGTACTTAGTTGAAAAAATTAGTAAAATTATTAAGTTTAGTTTTTAATTGATGTCCACCACACATTCAGTGCGTCATGCTCCACTTCAGCACAGCCGAGTTCTGCTCCACACCTCTTCTGGTTCTGCTCGGCCCGCTGCAAGTCTGAAAGCTCACAGCTCCATGCCCCCCCCCCCCCCCCCCCCCCACACCTATGTTTTAAATTTTCATGGGAAATATTCTGACACATTATGCAAGAGTATATAATTTACTACGTTGAATAATTTCCACCTGAAATCAGATCGGATCATTTCTTGACCTCGATGGATTCAGAGGTGACGGACACGAGGGGCATTGTTCTTCCAACAATCATTTATAAACAAGTCACTGGAAAATATAAAGATTTTAAGGTCAAAATTATGTAAAAAAGCAATTTTAATGACTTCTGTCATTTGAAGACAGAAACTTTAAATGAGCACGCTGCAGTCAGAATGGGTTTCTAAAAGTTGCAGTTTGAAGCTAAAGAAGCCGAGCCGAAGTGTTTCTGCCTTCAGGCCTCACCTGTTTCAGCTGGATCTCTGAATTCACGTGCACGTCGCACGTCTCACAGTAGAAGGTTTTGTTCTGCAGGCCCGTCGACGACTTGGAGGACGAGGCCAGTTTGCTCCTGACTCCCGGCCGAGGAAAAGACTTGATGGTGCCGACGCCGCTCCGGGCCTCCAGCATCGTCTTGTGCTTCGTACCTGCAGGTCGGAACAGGAGACCCGTCAGAACCCGACCCAGACACGTGCGGCCTGAGGAACCGGGGCTGCGTTCTGAGCGAACGGGTCGGCTCGTAAACGATCCTGAAGCAGCCCAGATCACATGAGGAGGTGTCAATCACTAAAAGTTGGACGTTTAAATCAAGGCAGAAACTTAAATTAAATCCAAACAACCGAAGTTTTAATCTTCTAAACTTATTTGTACTTTTCTAAAACAGGAACCTGCGGCGCTTCAAGAATCTTTTAACTCTGACTAACAATAAAATGAAATAATAAATGTTTATTTTTTATGATGCTTCTGCATACTTTGTTCTATTTTAGCTGTTTATCAAAACTTTCGGCTCATTTAGGAGATGGATGCAATGATTTATTATTATTATTTTTTTATCGTTACGCTTTTCTAAATATTGAACTTAACTTACAAACATTTACTCCACAGAACGATCTCTTCAGTTCACTTTTAAAAACGTTTAAATTTGAGTTTGCACACGGACCCTGTTTTAGCATTCTAATGCTACTTTTAGCTTTTAGTTAGCCAAATGCTATTTTTAGCTGTTAATCTTCTGCTAACTTTAGCATTTAGCAGGCTTTTGCTACTTTTAGTTAGTGCTTAGCAATTTTTAGCTTGTCTTTTTCTACTTTTAGCAAAACCATTATTACTTTTAGCCAACGTTTTGCTACCTTTACCCAAGTATGGCTATTTTTTAGCTTCTAGCTACTATTTAGCTAATGTTTTGATATAGGTTGTGTTTTGTTCCTTTCAGCTAGTGTTTAGCTATTTTAGCTCCCATTAGCTATTTTAGCTACATTATGCTATACTTGGCTACTGTGTTATTACTTTTAGCCTAAGTTTTACTCCATTTAGCTAAAATGAGTTTCTGCTTTTAGCTTCTGTCTACCAGCTTGCTACTTTTAGCTAGTGTTTAGCTGTTTTTAGCCACGCCCGCTCCTAAAAAATGTAAAAGGCGATAATGTTTTTGCTCGTGGATCGTTTTGTCCGTTGACCCACACAACAGATTTAGATAAAACTCTCAGAAAGTCAACATCAAACTAACCATTGGAGTCACTCCAAGTCAAGATGGCCGTCATAGTTAATGGGGTTTAGAAGAGACAAAAACAGCTAAAACTCGGTCTGGGTTTGAGCTTCTGAGCTAAAACTGGGTGTGGTGGTAGCTGAGAGTCATCCCATCTTGCAGACAGTCGATCGGAACAGTTTCAGCACCGTCGCTCCTCAACAAGAAACGATTTTAGGCGAAAACTTTGGCATAAAAGACGATAGGTGACCTGCACTTGATTCCCAGTTTACCAAAATAAAGTGGCTGAACGCCAAATTTATTTAGATAAAAACATTTGAAACTATCCAGCAAAATAAGAAAAATATATTTTTTTCTTTAGAAAAGTCCAAATTATCGACTTTAAACTCTCAGAAGTGACTGAAAACCTCCAGACGCGCTCGAGTGTCCAGAGAAAAGACGAAATAAAAAAACTTTAAAATGTTGGAAACGATGCTCTTTGAAGAGGTGGACCTTCAACCGGGACCTGCGACCCGTTTGGATCTTTAAACGAACCACTTCCTGTTCCGACTCTGAACACAAACTGGTCGCTGTCAGGAGAGAAGTTTTGGTTCTTCTCAAACAAAAAGCTTGTTGTTCTGCGCCTGAGGATCTTACAGAAACCAACGGGTTGATGAAAGAGGTCCAGCTGGGTGGTTCTGAAAGGACAACGAGGCTTTCTGCTCGAGCTGCTGGGACTGAGAGCTGAAGTTTGATTTTTCGGGTGTGCGGGGGAGTTTTCGTGTCACGTTGAGCCTCCTGCAGATAAATCACTGCTCCATGTTCCTTTCATCAAAGTTAAAGTTCTGGTTGTAAGAAAGCCGAGCCGGTTCTGGAAGTGACTCAGGGGGTTTCACGCAGATCAAAAACACAGTTTGAACGTCAAGTCCTCCCCAGTAATTACCCTCTAGAGTTTCTTTCATCCACTGGTTCATGAGATATTTGGCTAACAGAGAATTAGTCGACTCTAACAGTCAAAGTTTTGAAACGGATCCTTGGAGCTCAGACTCTTTGTTGGGAATGACTCTCAGCTACTACCACACCAAATTACAAGTGAAATCTGTGAAACTGACTGAGTTGTTGCCGTTTCTGTGTTTCATACGTTTTATTAGTCGTGGCGGCCATATTGAATCGCGATGACTCCAGGAGTTGAGTAAAAACGCATCCAGTGGTTCCTCTGTCAGTTTCATTCAGATCCGTCCGGTGATTCACGTGTTATTTTGCTAACAGACAAACTCCAGCAGTCAATGCTAAATCATTGTGCAATGCTCAGCTACTACCACACCAATTATTAGCCTAATATCTGTAGACTGGCTGAGTTTTTGTCATTTATGTGCTTGCTCAGTTTGATTAGCTGTGGCGGCCATTTTGAAAGAGGTTGTTTTCAAAAGTTAATTTGTTGTAGCCGTTTATTCCCTGAGGGACTCCTTAAAATTCATTCATGAGTTAATTGGTAAATGACTCAAAGGAACCGCCCCCCCCCACGAGCAAACAAAACATAAGCTTAAGTTTAGGGACGAGTAAAAAGCTTCGGCTGATGGGCTCTCGTGCGTCTCACCGCTGTTGTGAGCGTCCAGCTGCGACGCCGAGTTGACGGCCACTTTACAGAGCGAGCAGTACAGCAGGCGCCGGGCTTTCTCCTCCTCCGTCTCCGGTTCGGCCTCGTGGTCCAGGCCTGCCTCTGAAGGCAGGCTGACCTTTGACCCCTCATCTCCTGCAGAATCCGGGTTCATCTCGGAGTTCGGCGAACAGAAAGGTGCCGGCGACGGTGCAGCCGGGGTCACTCTGTCTGCGGGGAGATGTGAAAAAAAGTTTGTTTGAGTCAAACGGCTCCATTTTGGTTCGTGTCAGAACGAAAACGATGAATCTATTAATTTGTGTTTTTATTAATCTGTATACTTTTTTCAGATTCATCTTCTTCTGTATACCATGAAATATTTTAGCTGTTAAAACTTCAAAACGTTCGGCTCAGTAAGACAACGGGCACTTCGACTTTTGGATTTTGTAACTTCGATACTTTTCTAAATATTTAACTCAAATTACAAAAAAAACTTTCCCAGAGAATTACATTAAGATCCTTCACTTTATTCAGAAACAAGGGTCTCTTTACACGTAGCTTCATAAACTCGCTCAGTCTTCTGAAGCTACATTTAAAACTCACCCAGCCTTTTGTTATTTAGCTTTCAGCTTGATTGTTGCTACATTTAGAGAACCTTCTGCAACATTTAGGTTTGAGCTAACATTTAGCTAGTACTTTATTTCTTTTATCTTTTAGCTAGCCTTTTGAACATTTCAGTTGGTGTTTTGCTTTCATTAGCTTTTAGCTTGCAGTTTCGCTACATTTAGATTCAAGTTTGTATTTTGCTAAATTTAGAGAGCCATTTGCAACAACAATGTGCTAAAATTTAGTTTATTTTAGCTAGCCGTTTGCCCCCTTTAGCTTTTATCCACATTGTGCTAAATTTATCTTTTACCTAACCTTTCAAAAAATGTAGCTAGTGTTTTGCATCTGTTAGCTTTTAGCTAGCACGTTTGTTACATTTAGCTTTAAGCAAACTGCTACATTTAGCTTTCAGGTAGCATTTTTTAAACTAAATTTTAAAAAGTTTTTTGTTACATTTAGAAATTCTTTTGCAACAGTTTTTTTTTTTCTGATTTTAGCTTAAATTTTTTTTTTGTTACATTAAGTTTTAACTAGATTTTAGCTACATCTAGCTAGCCTTTTGCTGAACTTAGCTTTTAACCACCATTTGCTACATCTAGTTTTATCAAGATTTTAGCTACTGTATGCCTAGCTATATTTTAGCTAGCCTTTTACTACTCTTAGCCACTCTATGCTACATTTAGTTTTTAGCCTATTTTTACTTTCAGCTACCACTTGTGACATTTAACCCTTAGCTTGTGTTAGGCTACATTTAGCTTTCAGCTGTTTTGTCACTTGTTGTTTTCTTTTGTTTAGTTTGTCAGTCTTTTGCCCGTTCTGTCTGAATCGTACATCAAGCTCACGTAACAGACAAAGAGAAGCAGGAAAACGACTCAAACCAAATGCTTCAGTCCACCAAGAGCTGCAGAGACAAACGTCTGTATTTTAGGAGCGAAGACGGCAGCGGATCGATATACCCGACTCAAAAAACAACATGTCAGGCGACGGAACACAGAAGGACCGCCGACACATTCGCCAAAATGAAATTTAGCCTCGTCGGCGCGGCCCGATCGATGCTGATGCCTTCGAGTTCTCTGCACTCCGGAGGAACGAAGCTCCCGCCGGCGAGGAGGATCAATAGTGAATTATGCGCTGCTGCTTTTGTGCAGCGTTACATAAAAATTCTTATTTAACCCCACGGAGGTGTCGGCGCCGTGAGGGTCAAAGGTGAAGCAATAAATCTAAAGACAAACCGGCAGCAGAGAGAACGTCCAACATCAGACAAAACGTAGATGAAGCTTTAAATGAATTTGAGAAATAAAGTCTATTTCAGTGTTTGTCAGCCACCGATCCATAACTCTCCTGAGACGAGGTACATCTGTACTCATCAAGGTACAGAGCGTGTTTGTTCCAGTTAGAATTATAAAGCTGAATAACCAAAGTTTATTATGTGTCCGTGTGTCCAAGTTGAGTTTAATTTACCAGCAGCACAGTTTCACAATAAATCCAGTCCAGCTCATCGACCGGTTTCTGATCGGTCTGACCTTGTCGCTCAGGACGGTTCTGATTCCACCACAAGCGGAGCAGAAACCGCCTCTTTGATTGCTTCAACAGCCACCCACTGCCGGTCCTCTGCACGGTGCCAAACAACCTGAAATCACAGCGATTAACTCGCTCGCACCCCGCTGACATCACATCTGCTTCTCCGAGCAGGTTTTCAACGATCCGGGCCGAGTTTGTGCTTCCAGAGGAAGTTTGTTCGGGCGGGACACAGATCCTCCGCCTGTGGGCAAACCTGAGAACATCTCCCATCGGAGATCATCTATGACTTCACATCACCTTTTCTGTCCCTCGCGTATCAAAACCAGAGCGATAGATTTTAAATCAACTGGAATTATTGATGTGTATGCACTGGGGGGGGGGGGGGG